AAAGCCATTTCTGTCCTTAGTTTGCAATCTCTAGGTACCTTTACCATTTTTCATTTACTGGGCTGGATCCAGTGTTCTGTTTGTACAAGAATTACAGATCTTGTTTTCCTCTGCCCAGTTACTGCTGACCTCAGAAAAGGGAGGGGAAATTTGCCCCCTCTTCAGCCCTCCAATCCATGCAGCCGTTAAATCATGCAGACCCATAACACTTGAAAATCAACTTTCCAAGGGTCAGAAGGGCCAGCTGGTGGAAGGGGAACAAGAGACAGATTCACAACTGTCATTACCTTCTACTGACATGTGGCTGGATCCAACCCATGTTTTCTGAAGCATTTTTAATTTGTAAAATGTTTTACCATTTTATTGTGTTAAAGGATCAAATACTTTAAATTTATTTCCACACCAACAGCCTCTCCAGGGTCAACCTCAGCTTGGGGTATGTGAGTGAATGAGATAGAAGGGGATGATGGCAAATTGAAGGTTTTCATAGATGCAAGAAATACAAAGAAATGTTCCTGGCAAAAGTCTTGTTTTATTAGAACAGATTGTAATGCAGACAATTATGTTTGGTGGAGCCAGCCACCTTTCAGTCCAGCTTGTGGAAAGAGACACTCTGCTATATTAGAAGTATTAGAAAACACTGAATGGACCATTAAACACAATACCCCTCTATTCCTCCAGCAAAATCAATCTTGGTCCCGGTCACATGGGCCAGAAAATGCAGGGGGGAAGCATGGCTGTTTGCCCTGGAGAAAACTAATGCACGGCCGTCGGATCAGACGTCCCGTGGTTTGGGGGGAGGTGCTGCTCACACGACAATCCTGTGGCGCGGCAACGGCAAAGAAGTGGTGCGGCGCAATCACAGCAGCAATGGCTAGGCGCCGCTGCTGTGGCAAACGGGGTTGTGGTTTTTTAAAAACTGAAGTGTGCGCATGTGCCGTTGGGTGTGTGTACGCATCCCGTGGAGACTTGGGGGGAATAAAACCTTTTGGCGACGGGACATGGGCGGGTGCCGGATGCCATGAACTACCACCGGAAATGCGATCAGACGCCCGCCCTTGCCCCGCGGTTTCCGGAAACTAGTACCTCGAAGGTACTAGTTTTTTACACCGGATCTTTGGCGGGAAGCCTCGGGTTAGCCACAGGAGCTCTACGTTTCCCAGATGTTGTGGTCTGATGGTGCCCGGAAAATCTGCCTATCTTCTGTCTCTGTAGCATGCCTACTGCTTCGTGTGACCGCAGCCCTTACTTAGCTTTCTTTAACTTAACAACAATCTACTACGCAAAATTAAAAAATACATTCCACAGTTCTTGTGACCTGGATGTTTATAGACTGATCTGAATAGGATACTGTGTCATAGGAGTAATGATGAAAATGTTCTATGCATCTCTGACTTCTGGATATCTTGGGACATCCACATCCATTGGAGCAATAGGGAGTGAAGCTGAAGCAACAGGGAGTGAACAGGACTCCGTACTTTGTTGTTCAGGCAGTTCTAAACTTTTCAAAAGTGCAGTATTAGGTCTATTCACAACTTTGAATGGAAAAACATTTGTGATGGTTCTATGAAGTCTTTGTTGAGATGTACAATTCCTTGCAGTACTCAAAGCAGGAAATTCTTCACGAAGATGAAATCTCCTATGAAATATAAATGGCTGTCTGATTGCTTTTCTGTATTTCTTTTTCTTCATCTTGCTTATAGTTTCCAGCCAGGCAAAGTGGTAATTTGGCATGATATGATACAGATTAACAAAGGAGAAAGAATTGTACATGGCACTTCTGATTCTAGTCCTAGGAATAAAAAATTCTGTTGAAGATGATGCTTAGTCTTCAATAGGGATGGGCATGAACCAGATCAAAAACAAAAGCAATGTTTGTGAACTGAAGAGCCACCACAAACTTCCATGAATTTTAAGGCAGTTCGTGGTGGTTCGTGAAGAGGATAAAGCAGGGGTTCAAATGGCTTGGAGCTATTTAAACCCCTGCCTTCTGCTCTTCACAAAAAAACAGCTAAATAGCAAAGAGCAGCAGGGAGCAGAAAGAAAGGTTTTAATGGTTTTAAGCCATTTAACCACCTGCTTTCTGTTCCCTACAAAAAGTGGAGGGAAGCAGAAAGCAGGGGTCACAAACTGATAGAAACAGGTTTAGTTTGCAAACCACGCTCCCATTTTGTATTGGTTCATGATTCAGTTCGTGGTTCGGCCACAAACCACGAAACAAACCACAAAAATGCAGTTCATGCTCATCTCCTTGAGGATTTTTGTGCACTTCAGTCATGTCCAAAGTCTACAGACTGTGGGATATAACAATTCTTGTTCTATGGAGGAGCAAGTTTATATTAGTGATCTTTAGTCCCTGTTAGGGTTGCCAACCATCCTGGAGAAAAACATCCACTCCCTTAGAGACTTTATGGGATGTTATCACATATGAAAAGCTTCACCTACTCATTTCTGCACCTTAAGCCTCTTCCTGAAATTGTTTGTGAAAGCACATTCCTGCATCTGCAGCTTCTTAAACCTGTTGCAGATGGTGTTGTGGAAAGTTTTTTTTAAAGAATCTGTCTTAGTGTCATGGCTGTGTGAATAGTTAAAACCCATGTACATGAACGTCTCAAAAATAATCTGGAGGGTTGGTCTTACCAGGGAAATCTGTGTGTCTGTAAAATACTGTCAAGTGGCAGCTGACTTATGATGAACCCAGCAATGGGCTTTCAAGGCAAGTGAGAAGCAGAGGTGGTTTGCCATTGCCTCCCTCTGCAGAGTCTTCCTTGGTGGTTTCTATTCCAAGTACCAACCCTGCTTAGCTTCTGAGATCTGACAAGATTAAGCTATACCATTCTGCCTTCCTTCCAACAGGGAAATATACTAGAATGTAATCATAAGCATGCATATTTAACAACAGGCAATATTCAGTATGATCAGTAACAATAGTGAAATGATATCCAAACAGATATGTGAAGTATAAGATACAAGTGAACAAAGTCCCATCAAATCATTGTAACTACCAGCATTTGTAAAGGTAATTAAAATGTCATGTATCTCGATGGAGCATACATTAAAGGAGACAGAATTTCTAATCATGGTCAATTTCCATAACATGGAAGATTTCTGGCCTTTAGAACCATGTATCCCAGTGTGTTGCAGAGTTATAAGGCAGTGGAGATCACCTAGTAGATTTTGTTTGGTGAGAAAGAAGAATGGAAAATATTTACCTTACTCTTTATATGCAAGCCAAGAACAGTTTGTATATCTTTGCCAGGGACTCTACTCCAAGCAAATCATTTTCAGTCCCTTGAAACTCTTGATATAAGTTTCAGAACTTGTATGAGTATTTCCTTGTGCACTAAAAGGCATTTTACTCATCTGTCCAAATATGGTATTGTGAGTTGGGCTCTGTTGATGCCTATGAGACCCTCACCCCAGGGGACCCCCTCTATCTGCATAGTGTGAATCTTCTTTGTGGTATACGTATACATCTGAGTGTGGGCCTAGAAATCATAGAAGGAACCTGAACTAAACTAGCATCAGAAGGCAGTGGGTCTTGCCAAGGAATGCAGGGCAGCTTCTTTATCAATTATGTGTAAACTTGCCCTAAGAGGGATTTGGTGAAGGGACATTTCCCCCAAGGACCTCGAAACCTCCACCCAGATAATTTGATCCCAGTTAACAACCCAGATTTCCAAAACAATAAGCAATGGGTCAATTCCAGCAATTTCCTTCCTATCTAAACCGGACAGGACAATTCTAGCCCTTTCCTATTCATGACAAGCACCCAGCCATAGATAAATACATATCTGACTTCCAGATCTCCCAAGGGAACATTTCTGATACTCTCAATGCAAAGGAGGAAAACTCCCCCTCACACACACACAAAAAAGATTTTTCAGGCTCTCTCATCCTCAAAAGACATTATCCACACATTCCACTGCCAGCACCCCTTGCCCTCATCAAAGGTATAAAGTTATTCCTCAGCCTCAATTCTTGTAGCTGGTTTTGGAATCAAACCCAGCCTCTGGGTTGGCCCCTCAGCTCTCTGACCCTGAATCTCTGCTGTACAGACCTTCCATTGAGCTTTCTTCCACCTGGTCAGTTTCGACTCCCAACATCATTTCTTTGCCACTGCAGAAAACCCATTTCTTTCGCCCGCTTCTTTTCAGGAGAAGCTCATATGTCCCATTCATTTTCTTTTACAGGCTTATTTTCCCTTTAGATAGGCAGCAGTTTTAGGGAAAGGTTCTGGTGTGTTATTTATAGTATTGCATTTCCATTCTGTAATTTTCATTACTATTCTACCTTATGGCACAGATTATTTTGGCCTCTTTTTCTGTTTGTAAAATAAAACTGTGTTTGTTTAAGAGTCTTATTTCTCTCATTTTTTCAAGGTTTGATCTGAATTGGTAAAAATAGGCTAAAGACCCCAAGTATAAAGGTGCCCAAAATATTTATTTGCACATTTATTCTGTGCAAGTAGGGAGATATCTTTTCATATTACAGCTCTGACAACAGTGTGAAAAGACATCTTTCTCTGAGGCAGGTCGCAGCCCATTTGTTTTTTAAGAATCCATTCTGTGCTCTGTGTGAGTCCAGAATTCATCACCACTGTATGATTCCCACAAACCCTGGAAAATTCAGAGATGTGGATAAAAGGCTTATTTTTTAGAAGAAACTAACTCCTATCCTATTGTGGCTGTCTTTTGTAGGAGTGAGAAAGACAGAAAATACCTAAGCCATGTACAATACATGCAAATACCCGAAAACATGGAGTAAACTTCTAAACATTACAGCAACTTACAAAAACGAATATATATATATATATGTTTAATCACGGGAGAAAACAGATGTTACAAAAGAGGGTGTTAGAGGACCTCTAGGAAAAGAAATGTGGAATTGAGAAACAAGAAACAGAAAAGTTACTTAGGTTGCACAATTTTCACACTATTATAGTTGATTTATTTTTCCTCACAGTGTACTTGCAGAATATGGCATAAGCATTCCTGGTTGTGAAATGCTGATTTTTTTTCCTGTTTCAGCTTTGTGAAGTAGAAGTAATGACAGGAAGTATTACTGGGGACAGCACTGTTCTATTAATGCCACATGGGGCCAGTTTTATCCGGGATTCAGGGTAAGGGTGAAATAGCCCACAGTTCTTGCAGCTAAGACAAGGAGGAACAAACATCTGATGTGGAAAGCCGTGATGCTCTGGCAGTGCTTCGACTTCTCTGGCCTGTAACAAAATTGAAGTTTTTTAAAAGTTAAAAACACATCCTAATAAATTGGTAGTATTTTAGAGCTAATCTAGATGCTAGATTCCTGTGCTGTTTCATGCTGTGGTGTGCAACCAGGAATGTGGGTAGCATCACAGGAAATGGCTGTACTGAATATGGCAAGTTTACAATACAGACTCCACAACTTTACAATTTTCAGCAGCAGAAACTGTGATGTTTGAAATGCTAAACTAATATGTGTAATGTCCAAAGTAAGAACTTTCTGGGTGATAGGGCTGCCAGATAGGGTTTCCCCTCTCAAAGGGCCTCCAACCCATCAGCCTGGATCTGGCCAGTGGGGGGAACCCCACCCCTAAAGTGCCTAGATTGGGCCGATGTCCTCAGCACGATGACAACACCCAGAGATGACGTCATCGCGCTGGGCACGTCGCCAGTGAACACTCTAGCATTTGGCCTACTCCCCCACCCCACCCCCGCTGCAACAGGTAAGTGACCTGGCAACCCTGCTGGGTGATTCCCTAAACCTGAATGAAAGTTACTTTAAAAATGTTAATAAACAAAACCTTTTTATTACTTTAAATTCATTTGGTTGATTATGGCTGTGGTCGCACACACTAAACAATCCACTTTCAGTGCACTTCCCAACTGAATGTTGCCAGTTCACACAGTAAAATCCAATTGGAAAGTGCACTGAAAGT